ACAGATACGACACGCTTATGATTTTTCTTTGTGTTTTCTTCATGAATTATTAATGAGTTTTTTAAATATATATATATATATATATATATATATATATTACGTACCATGCGTCATTATAATATATATCAAAGTTATATTTCTATTATATTATACATTTCTATATTCATTATATTTCTATGTATATATATTATATTTCTATAAAAAATATTTATTTATTTATATTCATTTCAACTTATTCCATATAAACTGCAGCGAGTATTATTTCAACTTTAAGGAGAATATTTTGCCCAATGTAGCTAATTGAATATTATATATTTCTCTAAGAAGGGCCAACTTTGCAGATATAGCTAAAATTCCAATTTCACTTTTTATTTAAAGATGTGAAAGACCTAGGCCTACTACTAAATACAAATGTCAAATGCCGTAAAAAATCTACAAAATCAACCATCTCTGTTTGTTTTACCAAAATCGTACGTTTGACTATAAAATTTGTGATGAAGTTTAATATCATATTCTATTTTCTAGTATTTTGTGCTATAATTAAACAAACGTACGGGAATAGTTGAAGCCAGCGAGGAGTAAACTATTAAGCAATTCGAGAAGTTAACAATTTTAAGAACTTCAACAATTTGCAACAGCAAAAATAATGGATTTACAAATATTTAACGCTTACAAAATCACAATGAAAATCTTTTGTGTTTGCAACACAGCATGGAACGTATTGCACTACTTTCAAAATATTTAAAGTGAATCGATACAGTCTTTTAAAAATGAAAAATTTGCGATTTAGATGCGTGTTCTTGCATGACAAGTATTGTTTGCTGAAAAACAAGAAGCATCTTACTTATGAGTTTAAAATGTAAAACAACATCTATAAAAGTTTGAATTTTTGCCCAAAAGTTACGCAACTGCTGTTGCTATAGCAACAATGACTTTTCAATATGGCGGATATTTTGGCTTTAAAATAATTTAACTCGCAAACAACATCGGTGACCCCCAATTTATATTTCATAAAATGGTTTCTCTTAGTATATTGAATTACGTTTTTCAAACTACGTGAAGGTGATCATTCATAATTTTTTTGTGGCTCAAAAAATTTTTTTTTAAATTGTCAAAACAGAGAAATCATTTTTTGAAACAATTTGAGCCTTGGGGTTCACTGACGTCGTTTAGGAGTTAAAAAAAACCCAAAACATCAATTCAAAATCTTTGGATGTTGTTTTGTATCAGTATAGTATTATATTTTGTTTTTCAACAAGAAATAATTGTCAAAAAATACGGATCTTAATCGCCACCTGTCAAGTGCTCAGCGAGTGGAACCACTTTTTGGTGGAACAACTGTTCGTACTGCTATAATTAGTTGCAATTGTCTTATTTCATTTCATTTTACTTTTATAAGAACTGGAAAAAGTGGGATCGCTGAGGTCTAAGAAGCGTTTATCTTACACCTGTCAGCAACACTTTGTCACACTTTCAATTTTTCACACAATATATTTTATGGAAGTTAAAATCTTCAGTTAAGGAATCATGAACTATATATATAGACAACTCATACAAAATTAAATACACCAAGTTTGGGCACTGAAAATTCATAAAAATATTTCGAAATCAAGACAAAATTTTATCTGGTTAAATTTCGACTTCAGATTTCGAAGCCGCTTCCTCATTTTCAATGTCACATATTTGCGATGAAAAGTTTTCAAAACCTAAAATCTTTTTGGCGTACCCCTCCCAAAATGACTTTGTTTTAGCTTTATTTGGTAGTCTACACAGTCAGCAACCTTTTTAAAACTTATCTCGCGATTGAGAAACACAGAATAATAGTTAAATATATATTGCCAATTTAAATAGAATCATCATTGATGCTATAAAATTGACGCCATATTTAACATACCAATCAGTATATAAAGCAAAACTTACTAAACTTCAGACATAAGTTAATTTCTTTCGCCCACCAACTAAAATCTCTTCATATTAGCATAATTTTATAGATAAAGCACTAAATATACTTTTTTTAAAAAGGTAAAAACTTAAAAGTTTTTTTTGCCGCTTGACAAACTATATAAAAAAAAATTAAAAATCTAATAGGCCTAATAGCAGTGGTGTAGCCAGCTGGACAATTTAGTCCCGGTATTATCATGGTTCATTTCTTTAGAAATTGATTGTTTTCACAGTCAAATGAACACGA